GTGAGTTAATATATGGTCTATTTTAGAGAATGACCCATGTACTGCTGAGAAAAATGTGTATGCTGTTGTTGTTGGGCGGAATACTCTGTATATGTCTATCAATTCCATTTGTTCACAGGTGTGATTCAGTTCTTTTATCTCTTTGCTGATTTTCTGTCCTGTTGGTCTGTCCATTGGTGTCAATGGTGTGTTAAAATCTCCTGTTATAATTGTATTACTGCTAATTTGGTTTTTCATTTCTGATATTACTTGTTTTATATAACTGGGTGCTTTGGAATTTGGTGCATATATATTTAAGATAGTTATCTCTTCCTCTTGAAGTTTTCCCGTAACCAGTGTGTAGTGACTTGCTTTGTCTCTTCTGATCGTTATTGGTTTGAAGTTCACATTGTCTGCAAACAGAATAGCTACCCCCGCTTTTTTTGGGGGGTTCCTGTTGCATGAAGTATTGTTTTCTATCCTTTGACTTTCAGTCTGTGAGTATCCTTTTGGGTTAGATGGGTTTCTTGTAGACAGCATATGGTTGAATTTTGTTTCTTGATCCATTCTGCCAGTCTATTTCTTTTAATTAGTGCATTGAGACCATTTATGTTAATGGTTATAAGTGTTATATATTGGTTTATTAGTGACATGTTATATTTCTGCTGTTGCATCTTTATCTTTCTGTTCTATTTAATTGTCTGCTTTGTTAAGTGGTTTTTTTCTTAAGTGTATCTAGACTGTCTTTCAGTATTCTTTGCAGGATTGGCTTGGTGATCATGAATTTCTTCAGCTGTTCTTTGTTGTGGAAGTATCTTATTTCTCCATCAATTTTGAAGGACAGTTTTGCAGGGTACATCAGTGTAGGTTGGAAATCATTTTCCTTTAGGGTCTGAAATACTTCACTCCATGCTCTTCTTGCCTTTATTGTTTGTGTTGAGAAGTCTGCTGTGATTCTGATAGGTTTTCCTTAATAGGTGATTCTCTTTTCTCTCTGACAGCTTTTAATATTCTATTCTTTTGTTCGATTTCTGGAATGGTGATTATTATATGTCTGGGTGTAGTTTTATTTTGGTTATGGCTATTTGGAGTTCTATATGCCTCATTGATCCTGATATCAGTTTCCAATTTCATGTTTGGGAAGTTTTCAGCAATTACTTCTCTAAACATCCTCTTGACATCCTTTTTATTGTCTCCTTCTTTTTCATTTATCCCTATCAACTGTATGTTGTTTTTCTTTGCATCATCTTGCAGGTGTTGATTTGTTATTTCTTGATTTCTTGTTATTTTTAAAAGATCTTTCCTTTCCTGTTCACTGGCTACAATCTTGTCTTCAAGGTCCAAAATTCTATCTTCGCATTCATTCAGGTGGTTTTTACAACTTTCAATGGAGCTTTTGATTTCCTGTATATATCTTTGCATCTGTTTTATATATTCTGTTTGTTTCTTATATTGTTCATCCAGAGATTCTATCCTTTTGTTTAGTTCCTCCAATTTTTTAGCTGTGTCTTCTTTAGATATGTTCAGAATCTCCTTCATTTCTTTTATTATTTCTTCTTTTACCTGATAGATTATTTCTAGTTTGAATTCCTTCAAAGCTTCCCGGAGCTGCTTTTTTATTTCTGTTACTATTGTTTCAGGTATTTCAGGTATATGGCATGTGTTTTCTTCTATATACATGGCTCCTAGGCTTTCTTGGGATGGGTTGGATGTTTAAGATTGCATTTTGGTCTTTTGTTTTGTCATTTTCCTATATTACTGTGTTTCAAGTGTTGTTCCAGAGTTTCCCCTGGTCGTGTTGTAAATTGACTCTTATGTCCTGGGCTCTTGGGACTCCTCTTGTAGTAGCTCCCTCCTTGGGCAGCGGAGCCCCTGGATTAAAAGAGGCTTGCCAGGCTCCTCTCAGGTAGACCTAAAGCTTCCTCAATTTGCACAGTTTCCCCTTCTGGTGGCAAAGCTCCCCTGAGGGATATAATGGCACCTGGTGTGGTCCAGGCAATCCCAAATCCTGTTAAGCCCAGTATAGTGTGGCTGCAAGCCCATTGGGCCTCCAACCCCCTAGAGCAAGGATCTCATAATCTCCCAGGAATTGGATATTTTGTGATCCGGCCTGCAGATCAACAAGTTCAGAACTCCTGGAGGGGAAACGGGGATTAAATAAAAGACATAGGGGAGACAAAAGAGACAAAGGCAAGTTGATGTAATCCAATCAAGCCTCCGGTTTATTCAGAAAATGATCACACCTTTTATAGGCTAAGGGCGGGAGCTGGGACAGGAAGAGGTTAAACAGATGAATACAACAGGGTCACCGTCACATCCAGATACGTGACGTAAGCAGGAGAGGATTATGGTTAATGTAGGCAGACGCAGTGCCCATAGGAGAGAGAGGCATTGAGGCAGCAATGCGTGTCACTCCGCTCCCTACCATTTTGTAACAATCCAGCTCCTTGGATGGTAAAGCTCCCCAGGCTTATCAAAGGTTCCTTTATGGCATAAGTAGGCCTGAAACCTCCTCAGCAGGACTGCTCCTTCCTCCAGGCAGTGGCAGTAGTGCTGGTGCTCTCCAGATCATAAGAAGGTCACAGGCGAGGTCAGAGCAGGTTTCAGCAGCTCGGCCCAGCTCCCTCCTTCAGGCCAGCAGCTGTGGTGTGCTACTTGGCCAGAGGAGGGGGCTGGTGGACCTGAGTCCCCTCCGCTGGGCTGGGCGCTCACCTCCGGTCTGCAGCGGTGGTAGTATGGGGCCCGGGCGGGAGAGGCAGCAGCAGGACAGGACGCCAGTCACCTCCACTCGGCTGGATGCGCACCTTCTGCTCTGCAGCGGTGGTATTATGGGCCCAGGGCAGGAGAGGCGGCAGCAGGGCTGGCCTCCACTCTGCTGCTAGGTGCTTATTTTAAACAGAACTTGCCCTTTTTTTATTGGACATCTACGTGCTCACTCTGGGTTACAAGGACCTCTGGCCAATGGTAATCATATAGCAGACCTGGCCACTCAACCTCAAGGTCTCCTTTGTACTTTAGCTAATGTTAGTTCCAGTGATTATGATGACAGTGTTACTTCAGCACAAAAGACTTATCAATTCCACAATCTCAATGCTCAAACCCTTCGTCTTATGCAGAAGATCACCAGAGAGCAAGCCAGACAGATAGTAAAAAATTGCCCCTCTTGTGCCAGGCATCTCCTATTTCCACACTTTGGGGTTAATCCTATAGGACTTATCCCCAATGAATTATGGCAAATGGATGTCAACTGCATTCCTGAGTTTGGCAATTTTCAGTATGTTCATGTAACTATAGATACCTTTAGTGGTTTCATTTATGCCTCTCCCCAAACTTGCGCAGGTACCAAACATGTTATTAGCCAGAAGTTAACTACCTCATCAGTTTTGGGATGCCCAGAACAATTAAAGACTGATAATGATCCAGGCTATGCTAGTTCAGCCTTCACTCCTTTCTGTCAGCATCTTAATATTCATCATATAAAAGGCATACCTTATAACCTTCAAGGTCAAGGCTTGGTTGAAAGGGTAAATCTCTCCCTAAAACTCACTGTTGATAAAATAAAAAAGGGGAATGGTACCCCACAAGGGTGACACCTAAAGATATTCTATCTCATGCCTTATTCATCCTTAATTTTTTAGATTTGGATGCTTCTGGACAGTTAGCAACCATGCAATTTTGGTATACTGAAACACAAAAGCAATTTGCTTCTGTACTATGCAGAGACCCCCTGACTAACTCATGGCATGGTCCAGGCCCAGTCCTTATCTGAGGACAAGAGTCAGTATTCATTTACTCTAAAGAGATGAAATCTGCAAGATGGCTGCCAGAACAATTGGTTAAACAAATAGATCAAATAATACAAATGGAGGATAATGTTACAGATGACTCCAGGGATGAAAAATGACCCCTGAGAGAATTTTTTCACAGCTTTTGTTTTTCAGATGATGGAACCAACAGTCTGGATCCTGTTTCTTGGGATTATGATGCATAAGTTGATAGCTTCTGTCAAACAATAGGTGGATCTCATAAAAATGCAACCTATACAGGTCCATTACCACAGGTTTAGAATGACTGATAGAGAAAATTACGCGGAGCCCGCAAAACTGTATTATGATAATGCTTTGTGAAAGCAGGCTACAGCCAACAATAACGAGTTACAGGAATGCCATTCCACTGATTGAGACAAAGACAAAATGTTTTCTCCCTTGTATTCTTCCCTGACATCATGACTGGCTATAGAAGGTTTTTTTTTTAAATAATGGCCACTTGGAAAGATGCAAAAAAGAAAACAGAATGTAGGATATTAAGCATTCATGTATCCATTATTCAAACACAACAGTTGTGGACTTCTGGAGATTACTATATATATAAAGTTTCCTCCTGTATAATTTCATATATATATATATATATATATATGTAAAGAAATGAACAATCAAACTATTTATATAGTTAAATTATATATATAAACAAATAAACAAGCAAACTATGTATATAGTTATAATATATAAACAAATAAGCAAACTATACATATAGTTATTATATATATATATATATATATATATATACAAATAAACAAGCATTATTATTTGTTTGAGAAGGGGTCTTGAGGTGTAGTTCAAGCTGGGCTTAAACTCACTATGAAGTCCAGCCTGATCTCAAACTTGCAAGAATTCTCCTGTCTCCTGAATTCGCCTTTAGAGTAATGGGATTATAGGTTTGCACCACTGGACATTTTTTAAATATCTTGTAATTCCTAAAATCAAATCGCAGGCATCATGAAATTACTGAATGCATGGATACTTCAGTCACGTGTATAAATTTTTTGACATTTTCACCATACAATGGTACATTTCACAAAATTAATGTACTGTCAAGAAAACAAGCTATCGAATGGAGTTTTTGCACTTTCAGCGACTAATCACCATTCACCAGATACATTGTTTGATTTCATTGTTTGCCATGTGGACGGACCTGCATGACCATTCTCCTGGCTAAAAGCAGACTCTGTGCTATCCCTGCAGGCCAGCGGCCTGCCTTCTGCCTGGAGCGTTCCTTCATGGGTCCCTGCAGGATTCTGTTGATCAGATACTACTACAATGCCCACTCTGGACGCTGTGAAGCCTTTGGATATGGTGGCTGCAGAGAAAAGCAGAACAACTTTGAGACCAAGGAAGAGTGCATGAGGGTCTGTGGACAGAGTCCCAAGGTGCTCACTACAACTGCAAGTGCTGGAACACAAGGTGAGGATTAATTCTGTCAATCGATGAACTTGGGAGGTTTTTCAGTCTCTTGAAGTCCTCTTAAGTTTCTTTCATCACTGTGTAATTTTCACTGTCGATGTCTTTTTTCTTCTTGACCAGACTGATTTCTAGGACTATAATTTTTAAAAAAGCTATTGTAAAGGGAATTTGTCACCTAGCTTGTGTACAGAAAAGTTATACTTTTTAATGTTGATGTTGTATTCTTTCCTTCTTCATTGTATTTTGAATGAGTTTTACTGAGTTACCCAGTCTGGCCTCAAAATGCCATTCTTCTCAAAGCCTTATAGCCTCTCCATGGCCAGTTTCATTGGACAGCACACTGGGGCTATAGAAGCACTGGTGGGAAAGGCAGCAGCTCACCCCAGATTGACCAAGACAGAATCCATTTGAAGGAGATCCAGGAAGCTCGCAGTGTTACTGTTTGGGCAGCGCTGTTGCTGAGACTTGGCTCAGGCCCAGATCAGGAGTCCTGAGCAAGTGGGAAGATCACACAACCCTTGGGTGCACAGCGGCTCCTTCCCTGTCTTGCATCTCATCCTTTTCCACCAGTCAGCTTGGATATGATAAGTTCTGCCAGGCCCAGTTTAAACCTCCATTTAATTCAAAGAGATGTGCTGACTCTACCTCTATGTGGCTCTTCTTCTACTCACTGTCACTTGGTCGACTTGAACAGGGAACTTACTGGGCTAGGTCATCTGCTTCTCCTCTCCTCTGTGCTCTGAGGCTTTGGGTTGAAGCAAACCTCTCCCTGTCTCTGGAGCTTTCCTAGGGAGTTAAGGATTTTTAACTTCAGGAATATTTCATGATTTTATTATAATTTTAGTATACCACACATTCAGCAGTAGCTATGTCATTCCTTGGACCCCAACTCTGGAACTCTTTTATTCCTGCTCCTTGCCCTTCCATGGCCTCCAGCCCCTCTCTATCCCATTGTGGTATTCTTGCTGGAATTTGGGAGCAAAATCCAGGGGTCCAGGGATTTCAAGGAGCAGGCTCAGCTCTCTGCTCCCTGAGGCCAGTCAAGTAAAGGTGCACATAGTGAGTTCAAGGCCAGTCTGAACTACATAGTGATGCGCCGTCTTGAAAAAATGCAGAACAAAACAAAGTCAAATGCTTAAGAAATGAAGCTTGGATTAAACTGCCAGATTTAGACTTTGGAATACTTCTGTGAGTTGGTGAACATACCAATGGGCTTAGGAGGGAGCTACACCCCAGAGACATCATGGATCTGGTCATTTGGGATCATCCCATGCATCTGGCTAATTGGATTCTTCCTGTGTTGTGTCCTTTATTATACATACTAACAGTAAGAAAAGTATCCTTTTTCAGTACTGTAGATTAATTCCTGGCCTTCACACTCATCTATATTCCCAGCCTTTTATTGTTGTTTATTTGGGAACCAGGGACCTGGATTCATCTGAGACTCCTGGAAGAGGTCAGAGCAAAGGGTAAAGGCCAGGGGCCACTCATGCCTCACATTTGCACAATAGCTCTGAAGTTGAGGATACATTGACAATTTTTTTTTGTCTTTTTGAGACAGGGTCTCACAGTGCAGTTCATGCTGTCCTTGAGCTCACTTTGTAGCCCAGGCTTGTCTTGAACTCGCAGGTATCCTCCTGCCTAAGCCTCTGAAAGAGAGTTCAGATTAAAGGTATGAGCCACCATGACCAGCTTACCCTGATCATCTTTCAATGTTATCATCCTACAATGGCATAAGTAACAACATTAATAGTGTCTAGAAAGCAACCTATCACCATTTCCATATTTATCTTTCCCTTCTAACTATTCACTGGACCCATAGGTTGCTTCTACTTTCATCACCCTAGTTGACCACAGAATGTCTCATCGCTGTGTCCAGCTGCCTGCTTCCTGCAGGAGTCCTGAAACCCCTGTGACCCTGCACACTAAAGCTCTGCAGTGACACTTAGTTTTCCTCTCTCTGGCCTTGTCATTAAGTACTTTCTAAGTTCTTCCTCCACACTGAGCCACACCCTCAGCCCCTATATTTTCAGTGTTTTCTGATTAAACTAATGAGTGAATTCTGGTTTTTGTAACAGCAAGCCTTAATTGACGCCATTTCAGAGATGGTGGTATGTCGCATTGTTCTGCAAAGTTATGGCACTTTACTTTTTGCACACTCAGGCTGAGACCTACCAGTTTTAGGAAGCAATCTCGTGACAGCAATCCAAAGAGGCAGCTACATCTTGATGGTTAGCCAAAGCTACACAAAACCTGAGTCATCCTTCTCTGTTAAAGCTTATTTATATTTTGTGTATTTTTGTGTGAACTTGGCATCTGAATGTATTATTTAAAGAGAAAAACAAACAAATCAGTAAAAGGATACAAGTAATATAGAATTTCAAGAAAACAATATACAGTAAGAAATCATTAGTTAATAGATTACATAATGTCATCTCAGAAACAGCTGGGTCATGGTGCTCCCAGTCCCAGCTTTCTGAGAAATCTCCACACTGACCTCCACAATGGTTGCACCAGTCTACACTCCCACCAACAGTACAGGAGAGTTCCTTTTTCCCCACAGCCTCTCCAGCATTTGTTGTTGGTGGTTTTCTTGATCTTGGCCATTCTTTCAGGAGTGAGATGAAATCTCAGTGTGGTTTTAATTTGCATGTCTCTAATGGCTAGTGATGCTGAACATTTTTTCATATATTTATTTGCCATTTGTATTTCTTCATCTGAAAATTGTTTATTCATCTCTGATGCCCATTTTTGGATGGGGTCTTTGAATTTTGGGGGTCTGATTTTTTTTTAATTCTTTGTATGTTTTAGACAGAAATCCTTTGTCTGAGGAACAGTTCACTAGGATTTTTTCCCAGTTTGTAGGTTTTCTTTTCACTATGCTAGAGATTTCTTTCGATGTGCAGAAACTTTTTAATAAGACGTGATCCCAGTTATTGATATATATAAACAAATAAACAAGCAAACTATGTATATATATATATATATATATATATATATACATATACAAATAAACAAGCATTATTATTTGTTTGAGAAGGGGTCTTGAGGTGTAGTTCAAGCTGGGCTTAAACTCACCATGAAGTCCAGCCTGATCTCAAACTTGCAAGAATTCTCCTGTCTCCTGAATTCGCCTTTAGAGTAATGGGATTATAGGTTTGCACCACTGGACATTTTTTAAATATCTTGTAATTCCTAAAATCAAATCGCAGGCATCATGCAATTACTGAATGCATGGATACTTCAGTCACATGTATAAATTTTTTGACGTTTTCACCATATAATGGTACACTTCACAAAATTAATGTAATGTCAAGAAAACAAGCTATCGAATGGAGTTTTTGCACTTTCAGCTACTAATCACCGTTCACCAGATACATTGTTTGATTTCATTATTTGCCATGAGGATGTCCCTGCATGACCATTCTCCTGGCTAAAAGCAGACTCTGTGCTATCCCTGCAGGCCAGCGGCCTGACTTCTGCCTGGAGCGTTCCTTCATGGGTCCCTGCAGGATTCTGTTGATCAGATACTACTACAATGCTCACTCCGGACGCTGTGAAGCCTTTGGATATGGTGGCTGCAGAGCAAAGCAGAACAACTTTGTAACCAAGGAAGAGTGTATGAGGGTCTGTGGACAGAGTCCCACGGTGCTCACTACAACTGCAAGTGCTGGAACACAAGGTGAGCATTAATTCTGTCAATCTATGAACTGGGGAGCTTTTACTGTCTTCTGATGTCCTCTTAAATTTCTTTCATCCCTGTGTAATTTTCACTGTCAATGTCTTTTATCTTTTTGACCAGACTGATTTCTAGGACTATAATTTTTTAAAAAGCTATTGTAAAGGGAATTTGTCACCTAGCTTGTGTACAGAAAAGTTATACTTTTTAATGTTGATGTTGTATTCTTTCCTTCTTCATTGTATTTTGAATGAGTTTTACTGAGTTACCCAGTCTGGCCTCAAAATGCCATTCTTCTCGAAGCCTTACAGCTCTCCATGGCCAGTTTCATTGGACAGCACACTGGGGCTATAGAAGCACTGGTGGGAAAGGCAGCAGCTCACCCCAGATTGACCAAGACAGAATCCATTTGAAGGAGATCCAGGAAGCTCGCAGTGTTACTGTTTGGGCAGTGCTGTTGCTGAGACTTGGCTCAGGCCCAGATCAGGAATCCTGAGCAAGTGGGAAGATCACACAACCCTTGGGTGCATAGCGGCTCCTTCCCTGTCTTGCATCTCATCCTTTTCCACCAGTCAGCTTGGATATGATAAGTTCTGCAAGGCCCAGTTTAAACCTCCATTTAATTCAAAGAGATGTGCTGACTCTACCTCTATGTGGCTCTTTTTCTGCTCACTGTCACTTGGTTGGCTTGAACAGGGAACTTGCTGGGCTAGGTCATTTGCTTCTCCTCTCCTCTGTGCTCTGAGGCTTTGGGTTGAAGCAAACCTCTGCCTGTCTCTGGAGCTTTCCTAGGGAGTTAAGGATTTTTAACTTCAGGAATATTTCATGATTTTATTATAATTTTAGTATACCACACATTCAGCAGTAGCTATGTCATTCCTTGGACCCCAACTCTGGAACTCTTTTATTCCTGCTCCTTGCCCTTCCATGGCCTCCAGCCCCTCTCTATCCCATTGTGGTACTGTTGCTGGAATTCGGGAGCAAAATCCAAGGTCCAGGGATTTCAAGGAACAGGCTCAGCTTTCTGCTCCCTGAGGCCAATCAAGTAAAGGAGGGAGCTACACCCCAGAGACATCATGGATCTGGTCATTTGGGACCATCCCATGCATCTGGCTAATTGGATTCTTCCTGTGTTGTGTCCTTTATTATACATACTAACAGTAAGAAAAGTATCCTTTTTCAGTACTGTAGATTAAATCCTGGCCTTCACACTCATCTATATTCCTAGCCTTTTATTGTTGTTTATTTGGGAACCAGGGACCTGGATTCATCTGAGACTCCTGGAAGAGGTCAGAGCAAAGGGTAAAGGCCAGGGGCCACTCATGCCTCATATTTGCACAATAGCTCTGAAGTTGAGAATACGTTGACAAATTTTTTTTTGTCTTTTTGAGACAGGGTCTAGCAGTGCAGTTCATGCTGGCCTTGAGCTCACTTTGTAGCCTAGGCTTGTCTCGAACTTGCAAGTATCCTCCTGCCTAAGCCTCCGAAAGAGAGTTCAGATTAAAGGCATGAGCCACCATGACCAGCTTACCCTGATCATCTTTCAATGTTATCATCCTACAATGGCATAAGTAACAACATTAATAGTGTCTAGAAAGCAACCTATCACCATTTCCATATTTATCTTTCCCTTCTAACTATTCGCTGGACCCATAGGTTGCTTCTACTTTCATCACCTTAGTTGACCACAGAATGTCTCATCGCTGTGTCCAGCTGCCTGCTTCCTGCAGGAGTCCTGAAACCCCTGTGACCCTGCACACTAAAGCTCTGCAGTGACACTTAGTTTTCCTCTCTCTGGCCTTGTCATTAAGTACTTTCTCAGTTCTTCCTCCACACTGAGCCACACCCTCAGCCCACATATTTTCAGTATTTTCTGATTAAACTAATGAGTGAATTCTGGTTTTTGTAACAGCAAGCCTTAATTGACGCCATTTCAGAGATGGTGGTATGTCGCATTGTTCTGCAAAGTTATGGCACTTTACTTTTTGCACACTCAGGCTGAGACCTACCAGTTTTAGGAAGCAATCTCGTGACAGCAATCCAAAGAGGCAGCTACATCTTGATGGTTAGCCAAAGCTACACAAAACCTGAGTCATCGTTCTCTGTTAAAGCTTATTCATATTTTGTGTGTTTTTGTGTGAACTTGGGATCTGAATTTATTATTTAAAGAGAAAAACAAACAAATCAGTAAAAGGATACAAGTAATATAGAATTTCAAGAAAACAATATACAGTAAGAAATCATTAGTTAATAGATTACATAATGTCATCTCAGAAACAGTTGTCCGAATTACAAAATTAAAGCATACACAGAGTGGACATTCATACAGTGAGATTGCAGACAGTTCTGTTCAATGATCCAACAAAATCTCAGTAATATGGTTTTCTATCGTACACACTTAAATATACATGTAGTTTGTCCTTTAGACCACTTTCTTTTCCTCTGTTTTTTACGATAACAATTATACTTTTGGTGTTTTATTACTACCACAGTTGTTATAACTTTTTTTTCTGAAGAGAAACAAAATCCCAAGTGTGAGAAAGCAAAGCAAGAGTCAGTTAGAACAGAAGGGTGCAGATAGTACATGATGCAAAAACAGAATACCAGGTGATCAAAGATGGTTACCAAGATGCCTCTTGCTATACTAAAAAGAGTTGCCTATATCAACAGGTATAATAGAATTGAACAAAACAGTACAGAACAAGACCAATAAAACCTACATTGGAGACCTTACATGACTTAAAAAGAAGATAATAGTCAAACCATAATGAGCATCATAGTAAATCTTATTGCCTTCAAAGTGGTTGCCTATACCCTCAAACTTGATACTATCAAACCAAACAGAATGTAGTAAAAAAGACAAAAAAAGAGAAAAGATTGGGAGAGCAATACTGGGGTTCAAATCATGTGAGTAGGAAAACAAAAAATTACTATAATATATCCCGCTATTTTTTAAATATAGTTTTCCCTTGATTTAAAAAAATGAGAAAAAATAAATTAATTTTTTTAGGAAAAAAAATAGGGAGTTTGAGATGAAAGAGGACATAGTAACAGAACCACGCAGGTCAGAACCCAACAATTTCAGCATCATTGTGTTTTACCACCAGATAACCTGACATAATAGTAGTTACCATAGTGTCTCTTTCCTTAAATTATTTGAGTATAACTTCATATACTATAGCATAAAACATATCAAGACAGTGTGAAGCCATTCAAGAAAATGAAAGAATTACAGGGTACTTAGAACCAGCAAACAGAAAACAAACAACGGTTTCTGTATTATCTCTTTGCCTATAAAAACTTTCGCTTACACTTTCACATATAGTAAACTATAATAAGATACAACATGTTAAAACCAATGAAAACAGACGAACAACAGCTTGATGGGACTTCAAAACAGGATGATACTAAATCTGCACTAGCTTTATGATGTCTTGTTTTCTTCAAAATAGCTATTCGTACTATCACAGACAATAAAATCGAACAAACCAGACTAAAACAACTCCAATTAATGAGTGAAAACATCATATGGCTTCAAACCAATATGATTCAAAATCATGATTACCACATACTTTTATGTATTCTTATCATTTCTTACACTAGGGAAACTATTCGGTATTTATACATGTGAGTTTGATTTATTTCACTTATGAATATGGTCTCAACCTACATCCATTTATTTATAAATATCTCAGTGTGATCATTCTTTATAGATTGTATAAAAATATCACAACTTTTTTATCCATTCCTCAGTTGACGGACCCTTAGACTGTTTCCAAGATCTGACTATTACAAATTGTATTGCTATAACAATGGGTGCACATTTGTCACTCAGGTATGATGTTTTCAGTTCTTCTGAGAATATGGAAGTGGAGTAGCTGGATCTAATGGGACTTCCAATCCCAGGTATTTGAGGAACATCCAGACTAACTTCCACAGTGGTTGCACCAATCAATACTCCCACCAACAGTACAGGGGCATTCCTTTTTCCCCACAGTCTCTCTAGTTTTTGTTGTTGGTAGTTTTCTTGATCCTGGCCATTCTTTCAGGAGTGAGATGGAATTTCAGTGTGGTTTTAGTTTGCATTTCTCTAATGACTAATAATCATGAACATTTTTTGATGTATCTATTTGCCATTTGTATTTCCTTATCTGAGAAGTGTGTATTTATCTCAGATGCCCATTTTTGGATTGGGTCTTTGAATTTCAGGGGTGTGATTTTTTTCTAATTCTTAATATGTTTTACACAGAAGTCCTTTGTCTGAGGGACAGTTCACTAAGATGTTTTTCCAAGTTTGTGGGTTTTCTTTTCACTATGCTGGAGATTTCTTTGGACATGCAGAAACATTTTAATAAGACGTGATCCCAGTTATTGATTCTGTAAAGTATTTCCCGTGCGGTTTGAGTCCTGTTCATGAATTCTCTACACACTATGCCGTCTTCAAGGTTTTTACCCAGTTTGTCTTCCAGTAAATTTAATGTTTCTGTTTTGTAATTCAGGTGTTTGATCCATTTAGACTTCAATTTAGTACATAGGCATGGGTCTAGTTTTAGTTTTCAGCATATAGAGAGCCAGCTTTTCCAAAACCATTCATTAAGGAGACTTCCATTTTTCCAGTGAACATGTTTGGCCCCTTTACCAAAGATAAGGTGGTTGAGTGTGTTTGTAGTTGTGGTTGCATCTTCTAATCTAGTCCACTGATCTGTGGCTCTGTTTTTATTTCACTACCATGTTGATTTTATTACAGTAGATTTCTGGTATTACTTCAAGTCAGGGATTGATGCCTCCTGCCTGGGGTTTGCTGCTTAGAATTGCCTTTGCTCTTCAGGTCTCTTCTGGTTCCAGATGAATTTTAGCAGTGATTTCTCTATATCTATGAGGTATGTTGATGGTATTTTCATTGGGATTGCATAGAATCTGTTATAACAGTTTTGGGAGAATGGCCATGTTCACATTATTTATTCTGCCTACTCATGAACAACGGATGTCTTTCCATTTTCTGA